TAGTCCAACCCACTGCTCAAAGTACAATCACTACAGACAAATTGGTTTGGGGTTTGGGTGGGAACTCCACAGCCTCTCTGGGAGAAGTGTTCCAGCAGAATGTGCTGGTGCATCAGCCATTCCCACCAGACCAACCCTCCCACCAGGCAGGGCACTAAAGACTGGACTGGACCCAGCACTGATCCCAGGGGTCTTCAGCCGAGCTCAGTGCTGACCACCCCAACCCTTTCAGCACAGCACTTCAGCCACTTTTCAGCACACTTCACTGTCAACCTGTCCAGCCCACACTTCTTCAGTCTGTCATGGGACACAGTGTCAGGAGCTGACTAAATCCAAGTTAAACACCTTTGAGCATGCTAACACACTGAGGATGTGTTTAGAGAATACACAGACATATCTGGGGTTGTGTACGTTTAAGAAAACCTTAATTGCTAAGTATGTAAGAGAATTTAAGGCACCTTGGATCTGTTTAAAAAAATAATTCTTTCTTTTAAAAGCTGGGTTTGGTCTTCATTAGTCTACATTATCAATATTCTATCACGAGTTCCCTGGTCTATCAATTATGGCTGATCTCTTTAACTAGAATTGTTACATAAACAACAAGTAAATATCTTTTAACCTGATACACAGTATGATTTAGAAATGTGTTTGGACAACAAAAACCAGCTGTCCTACGCAGAGGATAAAACCCAAAACAAATGCATCTGAAACATTAGACTCCAGCAGTGCTCCCAGAAATGGCAGCCTAGCATTTGGTCTTTAACATTCTCCAGAAAGCAGGATACTGCCTGAGAAAAACCTCACATAATGAGAACAGAAATGAAAACTCTTGTAAACTAAACAACTAGATAGATCTTGAGTTAACAAATCCTTGATTGCTTATTTTAATGCTTGTTTATTATCAAAATCAAGTATTTATTTCATCTCAGGGAGATGCTGCTTTATAGAAGGTTCCCTGAAAAAAAAAACTAGGCTTCAGCAACCCAATATATTTCCAGTCCTGTCAGGTATAGTAAATACGAATTACTGCCCATTGTACTATATCATCCTCTACAGAGCCACGAGTTGCTCCTCACGCTACATTATTCCCATGTAAGCTCCGATTAATCCTGGAATAGCTTAGCTCAGAACCCCTAAATGAAAATCAGGGCTTAAGGACAGAAAATCTTTCATCATCTTCCTCCAGCTCATGTGCAGAGACCCCAGATTATTGCAAATTCTGTAAGAACACCCATAATCAGCTACATTTAACTGCAGCTTATTTTTCAACTGTAAACCTATTTGGGGAGTTCACTACACTGCTTCTGTCTCTAAAGCTCACTAAAGATCCTCCTCCTCGACAATTCACAGCCACTTTCCCTATAAAACAAAACGTTTGACAAAACCTGACGTTTAAAGAAATCATTTTCATTTATACATAGTGCATATAAAATGGAAGAAAATCCACTGCAGATGTGTTCAAAGTCAATTCAGCCAACTGCACAGGCAACATCAACCACAGAACCATGCAAACCACATGCTTTTTGCACAAATGCCAGCGTAATCTGGCATATGGGCACAGCAGTTTCACTGGAATAAATCTTTTTCTGAAAACGTCATACTCAATAAAATCGTGAGTTAAAAATATAAGCCACAAATAAGTAAAGAACTGAGTGACACTTTCCACCCACACATCAAAATTCTTCAAGTTTGCATTTTGCTATACCTCAATTCCAAACTCCTCTGGAACAGCAGCTTTTTTAGGATGTTTTAAGATGAAGAGGACAGTAAAGTAAGAACATTCAAATCCAGTCGTTTTGCAAAAAGATACGACCACAAGTTCTGTTTGTTCATGCCCCTTTACATAAGCAAAAAAATTTTTTTCAACCTGTTTCAGGAAGTCAGTTATTTCAACCCCTCGCACGAACAACCAACAGCCATTCTGTTCCTGAAGATTTGATCAAGGAATTTCTTCAAACTCCTTGGTTAGTCTAGTCTGCCAAGTTTGGCCTCAGTTCTCCAACCAGAGTGAAAGAAAGTGGAAGCAACCATGGAGGCCAAGCCAAACAGTCACCTGTTCTTAGCTCCCCAGATGTCACCGGCAGCAATTTGGAGCACGTGGCATTAAAGCATATTCCTGAACACATAACATACTCACCATAACTCTGAACAGTTGTTGTCACCTTCAGCTGTGTCATAAATGAATAGTTTACATGGACAAAGTCAGAGACACATCAGGCTAGGCAGATAAAGGTACAAAGCTGCATATGAAAATGCATTTCTTCAGTCACAACTCTTAGATGCTTGAATTAATGAGCCAAATTGTCAATTTTACCAGGTCAGAAAACCATGCAGTCACACAGTTTCACTAGAAGCTACAATCAAACCACATTTTGGAGCTCTGTGAAAAGACATACATGCCTGAGCAGAACTGCCAATGCCCTTCTAGCAGTTTCACCATCAACAACAAAGGATGAATAATGTGAAAATGACAAAATACACATTTAGATGTGCAGCAATATATGATTCCTGGACTGGCTGTAATACTTTTTCTATCAAGCAAGGAGATCTCTTATGACAAAATTTTAACACACATCACTATAGCTTTTTCACAAACATATTCCTTTTAACCTTGTGCAGAGTGTGTTGAGAAATACAGGTTAAACTCTAATTTATACTAAATACAGGTTAAATTCTAATACACTCCAACAAGAGGCTTTGAGACAGACATGAGACAAGGGCAGACAGTCTGAGCACTCACATTGCTGATGTACTCGGCCAGCAGGTCCTGCAGGGCCTGGCGGATCGCGGTGCACTCGGCGATGATGCGCTCGCGGTGCGAGTCACGCGTGCAGGAGGAGTCAGCCAGCAGAGCTGCTCCGCTGATGATAGCTTCCAGACGTTTCTCTAGGGATGGCCTTAACTTCTCTTCATTCAATTCAAGAGGATCCAGGACAATTAAATTCTGAAAAAAATGAGGAATACAGGGAAGAAAAGTCAGCCCGATTCAGTTTCCGGATTATTTTTAACTTGCATGAACTACAGTGACATTATGCTTTATAGAGTTGCTCTATAGCCCTTTCCACGTGAAGTATCCAAAAACCTTTTGACCATGGCAGAATCCATTTCCTCTAGGGGGTGTGTGTATATAGCTTACCTGCAGGCAAACCCAAGTTCTCCCTGCCATGCAGATCTCACCAATTCTAAGAAAGTATCTATGTTATCAAATCCAACTGGCCTGGATCCAGTGCTGAGATGGCAACAGAGCCTTCCAGCTGGAACTGTTCACACCCAAGCAGCTCACAGAAAATGCAGAACTAGAGCACATGCACCTGCAGGCCATGTTGACATCTTCTGACTACAATTGCCTTGTCGCTGAGTCCTTCCTGTTTCCTAATTTTGCTGCATGAGAGTCAAGATTTTCATCCTCAATTTGTCTCTCCTATACCTGAATTTCTTCTACATGCTTTCTACAGAGCAACTAAAAAAGCCCTCTACAAGGGATTTCACTTATCCCAAACCCAGAAGCACTCTGTTCACCTCTACAAATACACAGTTCTGATCACTGCAGTGTCTGTTTGGGCTAGCAATCTTCACAGCATCCTGCTCTATAATGAGCAGCTATCGACCTCATTTTATCAGCAAAGAACTGAGGCCTAGACTGCCAAGTTCAAGGTCACACAAAGGTGTATGTCTCAAAAAAGGCAACTGCATGCCACCTTCCAATTGGTTCTCCTCTTCAAGTTTTGTCACTGTGGTTGTATAAAACTGTGGTGGTTTAACCCCAGCAGCAGCCAAGAACCACACAGCCACTCACACACTCCCCCTCCAGCAGGATGGGGGAGAGAATCAGAAGGGTAAAAGCTATGAAAGCTCATGGGTTGAGATAAAGACAGTTCAGCACCTCCAGGAGAGCAGGGCCCATCACGCGTAACGGTTCCTTGGGAAGACAAACACCATCACTCCAGATGTCCCTCCTTCCTCCTTCTTCCTCCCACCTTATACACTGAGCATGATGTGCTATGGTATGGAATATCCCTTTGGTCAGTTTGGGTCACCTGTCCCAGCTGTGTCTCCTCCCAATCTCCCATGCACCCCCAACTCCCTTGCCAGTGTGGCAGTACAGAAAGCAGCAAAGGCCTTGGCTCTGTGTGAGCTCTGCTCAGCAATAACAAAAACATCTCTGCATTATCAACCCTGTGTTTAGCACAAATCCTAAATAGCCCCATACTAGCCTCTGTGAAGAAAGTTAACTCTACTTCAGCCCAAACCAGCACAAATACCTATGTCTTCACTTCTTGAGGGTCCCTTGAGGGACTGAGCAAAGTAAACAGGCAGTTCACTGCTTTCATTCTCTTCTGCAGAGGTTGGAGCCAGTTAAAAACCACTTGGCAGTTACAAAAAATCTGACTTTTGCCTTCTCAGAAAAAGAAAGAAGAAACAACAAAATTTTCCCATGGCCTTGCAGGCCCTGCTATGAAGGCCAAAACACAAAGAGTGCTTGATCAGCATGAAGACTTGCTCTTCTACGCTGTGTACCCTGACCTACTGCTGGCAGTGGCTGTGGCCAGACTGGTTCTCCCAGGTCACAGCACAGGAACCCACTTTACTTTTGTAGGCCAAAGCCTACACCAGGGCCTGACAGGAGCAGCAACCCATCTCTGGAAGTTGCCATCAGAAGCCTTCCTTTCCCATAGCAGCTACTTCCACAGGAAGAAGGAAATGTACCTGAAGACACGTTTCTGGAAGTCTTAAGGCAGGACAATACCATTTGTTCACAAAAATAACTTAGATGTATATTAAAAGCATAAGCATTGGGCACCTATTTTTTCCTAATTTCTTCTCTTGGCTGAGCTTCCTTACAACAGTGAGAGAACGGCTGAAAGCAAAGGAAAACTGCACCACACCTACCTGGAGGCAAGTGAAGTTACTACATGTCTCACATAAAACAGGTATTAGGGAAGTGCAATAGAGGAAAACTGTAAAGAGGTGGTAAGAAGTGCCATTAAAGACCCTGACAAGCAGGGGAAATTAACTCCTTTCAGCTGCCACCTCTCTAAGTAAGAGTGTGCAATTTTAAAATCAGAATCAAAGAGTTCTCAGATGTAGGAAATGTGTTTTCCTGCATAACAAGCGTCGAACACCTGCATCACCCAGGTCTTTGTTACTTCAGCTATAGCCAAAGACACAGCAAAATTAAAACTGAAGAAGCTTTGACTGTAATAACTTGAACTAGTAATATATATTTGGAAAACTGCATAAAACTAGCCATTAGTTTTTAAATATTTACCTTTCTAGACTATATAAATTTCACTTACAACCAAGAGGTAATTTCAAGCTAATCTTATATAGAATCATAGAACCAACTTGGTTCGAAAACACCTCCAAGATCATGGAGTCCAACCCTACCCTGGTTACTAGCCCATGGCACTAAGTGCCACATCCAGTCTCAGCTTGAAAACCTCCAGGGATGGGGAATCCACCACCTCCCTGGGCAGCACATTCCAATGCCTGAGCACTCTCTCTGGAAAAAATCTCTTCCTAATATCCAACCTAACCCTCCCCTGGCAGAGCTTGAGTCTGTGCCCTCTTGTCCTGCTGCTGTTGCCTGGGAGCAGAGACCAACCCCCACCTGACTCCAACCTCCTGTCAGGGAGTTGCAGAGGGTGAGAAGGGCTCCCCTGAGCCTCCTCTTCTCCAGGCTGAACCCCCCCAGCTCCCTCAGCCTCTCCTCATGCCACTTGTGCTCCAGTCCCTTCCCCAGCCTCGTTGCTCTGCTCTGGACCTGCTCCAGCCCCTCAATGTCCCTCCTGAGCTGAGGGGCCCAGAACTGAGCACAGGATTCAAGGAGTGGCCTCACCAGTGCCAAGTCCAGGGGCAGAATCACCTCCTGGTCCTGCTGACCACACTGTTCCTGATCCAGGCCAAGATGCCATTGGCCTTCTTAGCCACCTGAGCACACTGCTGGCTCATGTTCAGCTTCCCATCTACCCAAACTCTCAGTTCCTTTCTGCCTGGTCACCCTGTCCCCAGTCTGTAACACTGCATGGGATTGGTATGGCCAAAGCACAGGGTGCAGCATGACAGACTCATGCATAATAATCTTCTTAGAATGGCAAGGGAAGGCCTTGTAAGATACAGCCATCTCTGAGGGTCAGGACATTCATTTCTGATGAGGAACACAGGTTTATCTGCGAGATTTGAAATTCTGCCTCCCTCACTCACATTACAGCCCTCAACACCAAGTGTTCTGTGGTACCTCTGGTGGAGCTGTGCCACTTGGTCACTGCTCATTGGAGCATCAACTTGACTCCTGGGCTCCTGTATCTCAAGTGAGCACCCTCAACGCTAGGCTATTTGTCCCTTGCAATGTAAAACACAGCTGCCAATTACAACATTTCAGTGTTACCACAGAAAGAAACACTTCACTGATTGTGGAAGACTAAGACACACCTTAAGGCTACAGTCAATTAGCCACTTAGCTCAAAAAGTGACTGCCTTCAAACCTCAGATGCAACAGCAGCAGAAATTTCTTCCTTTGGGAGACACTTTGTAGGAAGTTCACTCCAAGATGGACAGACAGGACTGGCAAAAAAAGCTATTGTGGTTTACCTCTAAATAAATTAAATAATCTAAGCAATACTAACCAGGAGAATATGAGTTAAGACTCTGCTCACAGATTAAATTCTTCAAGCAATTTCATCAATTATTTATGATCAATACATCTACACAGCAAAGACCAAACAAGAAGACAGCAGATACACAACGAGCAGTCTGGCAGCTTTGCTTTAACAGGCTGAAAAGTGATTGGTACCTGATCTGATACCTTCAGCATCAGGGAGCATTTAAGAGGAGTGATTAGATCCCTGTGTTTGCCCTCACTGGTCTTCTAGTCCATGAAAAGAAAGGTATCATGGAGATCCAGAATCTGTGTGCATTTCCAGATGTTCTGGACTGATTTACAGCCTTCTGACATCTCACATGTAAGAGCTCTGCTAGACAGTCATGGTCACTCAAGGCCCATGGATCACAGGAATGTGCTGGCAGAGTCAGCCATGCAAGGCCTGGATCCCTTTGTGAGAAATCTCTGCACTTAGGAAAGGCAAGACCAAAGAAAGGCATTAGATAACCTGCCCTTTTAGATGAGATAACATGTTGTGTTACAATAATCTCAGTGTGCAGATAAACTCTAAAGTCAGAATTTTGTGTTCATTTATAAGTGATATCATAGTTACATGGAGACTTGAAGAGGAACTGTTGAGAACCTACTGATTTAGGAGTTAGATGCTCTAATTTTACTGGTGGTTTCCTCACCTATAAATCTTGCATCACTCTCACACTGCCAGCACTCGCAAAGGAAGGATGAATGACACTGCAAAACATCTAGATTGTTGTGTAAGCTCTGTGATACATTTCCACCCCATAAACATTTAATTAGATTTGTTCCCAACAGACTGTTTACTGCATCCATCTACTTCATGGCACTGGATTCGCAACAAAAAGATAGAGCAAAGGTTATTCCAGGTCCTTAGCCAACAGAACTTCCTGCAAAGAGAGAAAAGTGCAGCTATCTAACTCATAAAATCATTTTAAGAAGTTGAATGCTCTATAAATTGTGCTTTATCCAACACACAGAGCTTCAGTTCTCCTTTGTGTTACCTAGGTAAAAATAGATTTAGAACTCCATAAACAAATGGCTTTTTACAAGTCAGACTTCTATGTTCTTATACTCCAAAACAACACAAATTCAATACACAAGTCTCAAATTTTAAAACAGTAGTAAATTTTAACACTTCTAAAACGTAATTAAAACAACACTGCTCACAGACAGTCTAGATGGATCCAGAAAACACAACTCTTTCGCTGAATTTTGTTCACAAACACCTGCTGTGAACTAGGTAAATATTAGCTCTCATTTCAAGCGTATCGTTTGCCCCTCAGAATTTCACTGCAGCAAATCATGTCACACTCTAAAATGTTTCTTTTTCTTGCATTTATTGAGAATATAGATTCCAACCCCTAATTTTAAGGCCCATTGTGGGAAGCAAGGAGGGATAGCATGGAATGTGCAACTGCAGTCTGTTCCTCTGGGGGGAAAGGCCTGTCAGATTCAGCTCAAGGCACTGCTCAGGGTTATCTTCTGGTCAATAAACTGTCACTGCAAAACTTGTGTCACATTTCAGTGTACTTCTTTAATCTTCCATTGAACATTTTAGACTGAGTTTATTACCATCAGTCCTAACACTAATTCCTCCGAGAATGTACCAGTACTATTGGAGTTCTGAGGTTGAGATCTGCTACATCCCAGAATTTACAATCAAAAATATCCCTATTTGCCAATGTGTCAGGAACATTCACTCCTTTTGTTGATCTGAGTCTACATCAATGATACCAGATGAGGATCGTGGTCTGTAATCTCATCTACAGGAGATGTTTTGCCATTTTTGCCAGGACAATGGCAAATGACACAGGAAGAGCCAGAGCAGCCGTGAGAAAGAGGGAAAGCTGCATAAAAAGCTCAGGATGAGGTCAGGAGTAGAGAAAGAGCTGCCTGTCTCCAAGTAATTGCTTAAATAATGGAAGTAGCAATGCAGAACTCATGAGAGATTACTGGTTAATGATAACCAGAAAACATAACGAGGTTTCTAAATCATTCAGTTACACAAATTACAGAAGGATCCCAATGACATGTTTGGGAGAACAGGACCTGAACTTGCATGGTACTAGCTCAAACGCAGCCAAGGCAGCAGTGATCACTCATGGGATCATCACTGCTACCTGCAAACCAACCTCACGGACACTGACCACTGACCAGAGGAGGTGTCTGGCCCCAGCACCAGTGACACACTGGGAGCCAACACTTCCCTGCTGCTCGAAGGAAGCCAAATATGGAACATACAGGAAGACTGAATTCCAAGCTCTTTTGAAGGAAGTGATTCCTGTCAATGAAATAGTTTTGAGTGACACTATTTAGACCAGGACTAAGCAGAGCATCAATTTTGAATGCCTTTAGGCCCAGCAGTTATGACACCACGAGTTACTTCAAAAAAAACCATATAATTTTCCCAAAAATGTTGTAGTCTCACAGGTTTACATACCTCAAGCTCATCAAGTGCATTTCCAAGAGTATCCGTGCAAGACGTAGGTTGCTCTGTTTTATTTTCGGCTCCTTGGGAAGCATTAGAAATGGCATTGAGAGCATTCTGTATCTCACTGCAAACTGAATCCTTGCTGGCTGCAAGGGATGCAACATCAGAATGTTCCAAACAGGCTGAGCATATTGAATGCAGGAGAGAGGAATTCTCCTTCAGGGATGCACGTGCTGCAGCAATTTCATCTCGCTGATTGCTAGATTTCAAATCCTGTCAGGAAAAGAACATGCTGTTTATTTCCAAAAGCACTTCAAAACTGACAGGTAATGTATAAACATTTTTTTTCCTCTCTCTACTCTGTTTGAGGAAACATCAAGTTTAATTCATCAAAGACTGTAAAAATGGGCTGGAACAGTACTTAAAATTGAATCATCTTTATCTCATGAGAAATGAACAAAGTCTGTGGAAAGCAACCACAATTTTTATAGTGTCCTACAACCAGCACCATGAACTGTCACTGTTTTGCTTAGTTTTAAGCAGTCTTCCTATGAGAAAACTCGCCTGAAAATTAGCTCTTTCCTCTCAGCCATGTCTCAGCTATAGAGAAGTACAGAGCTGCAGAGTTAAGCGAGGAAGTCTGTGACTGCTGCCTGTAAGTAAATTTCCTGTGTTTGCTTCCCTGTCCCACCAGCCTATGTGCCAAGCATACTGCAGAAAGGAACAGCAGATAGGGATGAGAATCCTACACTCCTGGGAAATGGGAAGCATGGAACATACAGAAATTGAAAAGGCATTTGAGTGAAGCAATATCTGAAGCATCACAGTCTATTTCTCCACTCTCCCTGCTGCATACACACCTAAAGCCCTCAGGGATCTTAGCACAACCCATCTTGTTCCACTCTTCTCCACCCAGATCCTCTTGAAATCCTACTGCCTCCTGCCAGCCTAGACATAAGGGATGCACAACTTGACAGAGCTACCAAGTCAGATTTAAGGGGTTCAAGGAATCAAGCCTGGGAGCTGTTACTTGGACAGCTGAGAGTTACAGACTTTGGGACAGCCATGCAGTCAGAATCAGGACTGTAAGGAGCCTCATGTCTCATCCTGTTTTGTTCTGGATACTCTCCCACTCTCCTGCTGCATGTTGTCCCTTTGAAAAAACCACCTAGCAGATATTTGCAAAATGGCTTGGGTAAAGGAGACAGTTAAATTCAGGGGAAAAAGAAAAAACAAAGGGGAAACAGCAGATCAGAGCCTGTGGCACCAGCTTCAAATGATGAGAACAGCCACAGTGCAGACAACACAATGCATACAAAACTCACAGCCCTCTGAACACAAGCTGAGCTCTGATTCTTTTCCTTTGCATTGCATTGGGCTCTATATGCATCACAGTATCTGCTTCTCACTTCACAAAGTTTTTAAGTTTATGGCTGAAGAAAAGAGCATTCAATATTAAATGAGCCACTCCTATGCTTTTAAAATCCCATTTACTCCAAGATATGTATTGAGCATAGGATTGCATCTTACTTCCTCAGGCTAACTTGGAAATCTCAGGGATACAGTAAAAAAAACCAAAGACAGGGAGGGATAGAGCCTTAAGCAGAAGCAGACAATGGTTTAACCAGCTGATCATCCAAGTCAGAAACCTGAGTTTTCCTGAGTGTATTGATACATATTAACATATTTTATAATATAATAATAACATATTTTTTACATTTTTAATAAACTAATACATAAACGAACCACCACTGTGCAAGAATGACTTCACTGCCCTGTATGTTCAAATCCAAACACTCATGCACCTCCAGCCTTGGCAAAGCAGCTGCAATTTATCCAATGCACTGGACTTTTCCAGCAAAAACTGTTACTCATTTTTAAGTGTAGATTCTTATTCTAATTAGAGAATCTGTCTTTCTTACCACTGTATTACAAGACAGCAGCCTGCCTTCTTCTCTCCTGAGCTGCATGGAAGCACAGACCTAGAAACACAATGGGAAGCCAACACAGCACTTCAGTCTAGATGCCCTGTGTTATTAACCATTCCTTACTCAGCTGCATCACACCCAAACAGTCCTTCAAACTGACTTTTCCCCTCCAAAACAGGACTGCCTAACCAGGGCTCATGAGCAATCCCAAAGTGGTAAGCCAGTAGCACAAAGCCAGTAGCAGCAGTCAGTAATGTGGCATCTGGAAACACATCTGGAGACAGTCAAAAGGGTTCAAAAGTTAATGTTTTTACCTAAACACAGAATGCATTGTTTCACACAATACTGTGTAGAGATGTAAAGTCATAACATTGGTAAATTCACCTATGAAGAGCCTCACTTTTGTTCAAGTATATGTTCAATTTAAAAGAAAAAAATTCTCAGCCCCATGAAATCCATCACTACTTTGTTGTTCAGCTGAGAGCTTTGCACAGCTCCAAAGAAGCTGTAGAACCATTGTTCTCTTCCATCTTGAGGAAGAATTAATTTCTCAATATTTTTCATGTGAAGAAACAGCTGATAATCTTTACCTGATCTTCTTCATAAATGGACCAAGATACACTACAATTGAGTAATTTCTCTATCAAACCTTTGCACACATGGATTATCAGAGTAATGTAACCAGCTCTTTGAAGAAGGAGGTTAGTCTCTACAAACATCTGTAGTTTGCCCAGCTACATTACTGAGCTTTAGGCTATTTTCTTTTTCATAGTTTACCACTTCCTTCTTATTCCAACTAATTTTTAGACTAGTGGACTATGTCCACTGGTCTGGGACATGTTCTTCCATACTAAGTCAGATATGCCCTACGAGACCAGCTGAGATCAAAGCTAATCCTGTCTCCAACCATTGCCAATCTAAGAGGTCCAGTGCAGTGACACTTCCCCATGCTGCTGTCCCAACCCTCCCAGGACATACTTGTATGTCTTGCTTATACCTGGCTGTCCCTGATAAGGATGGAAAATTAATGGCTAGTCAGATTCCCAGCTGTGAATTGTTCCAGCTAAACATGGTGAATGGACATGAAGACAGCTGATTGCACTACCTCAATAACAAGAAGAAAAGGGGTTTGTGTGTGTGTGTGTGAATCTGTTCTCTGTCACACATAACACATCTAAGGTTTTACAGTGCAATACATCAGAAAGCAGCTCTTGTGAACGAAGCATTCATATCAGCACAGCTCCCAGGGCCTGGGCATCCCTGTGGGTACAAACCTCACTGCTGCGTTTTGCACCAGCTGCAGCCAACACCAGGTTCACAGGGGCAGCTTCAGAGGGCACTGCAGTCCCCTCTCTGCAGAGACAGATGTTCTACATCCAGGAAAAACACAGGCATACAACCCCCACAATTTCACACTACTCTAGAACTGGAGGACAAAAGCATTAGTTTTTATCTCAGCTGAAACCTGGACTTTGGCATTCTGCCTTCAGTCCCAAGTGACTGCCAAATTGCGTGGAGCTAGTGAATCAAAGACAGCAGCAAAGCTCAAACTCTTGCCGGTGCCTTCACGCACTGTGCATCTGGGCAAGGCTCCAGCTCACATATTTCAGAAGCACTGTGTCATCTGCTGGAACAAAGTACCTCACAGACAGGGAAGTGACAAAGCCCTGGGGTTGACGCTGACTGCCAGGTCACTCAGCTGGGCCAGTTGTGCCAAGAGACACTGTTCACACAGGTTTGGAACTCACCCCCACAGGCTCTGCCCAGCCTCAGAGTGGAGCTCCAGCCACGTGCGGCCCCAGTTCCACTGGCCTGGGACCTTCAGTCCCTCCCCGAGCTGTGCCATGGCAGTGCTGGACCCCAGCTCGAGCACAGCCTGGCCACAGGCTCCTCATTCAAACCTCAGCCCACAGAGTGACCTCCACAGCTCTGATGTACCACAGGGCTTCTCTCCCCTGGCACCTCCACCAGCTCCCGCCCCGACCCAGCGACCCAGCGACCCACCTCGCCGCGGTGCTCCGACCTGCCTCGTCACGTACCCTGCCCTGAGGATCTGGGCCCCTGGCTGAGCCTGCTCAGGATGCCACGGGGCAGCCAGCCCTTGCTGCACCCCACAGCACCTTCTGCATTACCACCAGCAGGGATCACCTGTCATAAACTCCACAAGGCTCTACAAAATGCTAAGTTTGCTAAGCTGAGCAGTGTGACCTGGAGTCTTCTTTCCTCCATATTAGGCTTTTAACAACATCTGAACCCATGACACAAGCCACTGTACCCACACAAAAACCAAGCATAAACACACTGGGAAAAACCCCTGGCAGGATAAAGGCTTTGTTAGCACAAATGAAACATCACTGGATCATACAGATGTACTATACTGACCATCAAAGGTCACCTTATATGCACTGACAGCAAGGCAAACACCACTGAGGTGCTTTGCCAGTAAATTCAGAGCAGCAGGGAATCACAGGCATTCATTTAAACACACCTTTGTGCATTTCTCATTGGCTGAACTAAAATATTGCCATTACCTCTCATTATTGTATCTTCTGGTGTCATAGAGACGAAGGTCACTGGAAACTCTGCTTAAAAACATCTCATCTACTCCTGCACAGAGAGTGTATATATTCCCAAAGCCAGTTCATTCACATGTTGTTTGTCTGTTTTAAAAACATGGGTTTCCAGAGACTATTCCAGTCCAAACAAGTGGATGAAATAAATTAATTCTGTTACACTCCAGAACCAGAAATATTTCCTTTCTCCTTTCTCTTCTTGGATAGCCAATGCAGAAACACACAATCCCCAAACCAACGTTTGTAGGCACCACGGTAGGAAGGTATTTTCAAAGATGTGTCCAGATCAGGTCTGGACACAAAAATAGAGGCCTGTCTTTACAAACCACCATCACAGTATGTGCTCAACTCTGAGGAATTCCAAACTAGCTTTCTATTAAAAAAGTCTTAACTGGCATCTGGATTAATTTTTTCTGACTTCAGAAGTCATCAGCAGTTCTTAGTGTCTCATCACTATACTACAGCATTTACACAGAGTATAGAAAAAGCACACAAACACTACAGAGACTGTATGGCTAGAAACTGCAGGCAGAGTTTGTTTGCACCAGCCACACTCATGATTACACAAAGTATGAAGTGTTATAGTACAAATCCATGACAATGTTACCACAAGACACAGCCCTAGGTAATCCCCTCTGCTTCTAAGATGACTTGGCAGTCTTTTATAAAGCCACAGCTTGCAGTCCTCTTAGGGCAAGCAGGAAATGGATCCCCCAGACTGAGTTTCCCAGCAGAACTTGCTCTCTGTACCTACATTTGCTATTGATCACAC